GTCCCTATACCCATGTTTGCTTTCACTGACAACTCAGTACTGTATATGCAAAGGGGTTCATATTTGTTGTCTGTACTGTGTGGGCCAAGTGCTGAGGATACAGAATTAAAAACCCAAGAAGCCTCTAGTTTAGGGGAGAGAAGTTACAGTGTGCTCAGCTGTGTGGTGGGGTTAGCCTAGTACAACATGGAAGCCCAGAGGGAGCCCAGCCCTTGGCTCCTAGGGGAGATGCTGAAGCCGTGGTGAGTCCTGAGGGGCACAGAGGATTCTGAGGAGCAGAGAAGAGAAAGGCAGGGTGGTAGCAGTACCTGGCAGTAGACAGCCAGGAGATGTGACTTCACTGAGAAGACCAAATCTGTGCTTCAGTGGGGCTGTCATGGGGAGCAGAAGAGAAAAGGCCAGCAGGACATACAGAGTTGGAGCTTGCAGGACTGTGCTGGGATGTGGGGATCTTATCCTTTGGTAGGGGAAGGCATTTTGAAAGGCCCCAGGGGTAGCAGGGTGGCAGAGGGACCTGTGCAGTAGGAAGAGAGAGTCTGAGGGACCAAGTAATCAAATTTACCAGAGGGGGTGCCCTAGGATGCAGTTTATTAATTTCTTCTGAGAAATGTACCCCCACATAGACCAGAGTGCTCAGTGTGTTCTCTTCTTGCTTAAAAGTGTTGTTGACAGAATTGGTATCAGAGAATTGGTTGGTTGACGAATATGGGAGAAATGCAAAGGGAGCTGTGGAATACTTTTGATTTGCTCATGCTTTTTGAAAATTTATTTTCAACTATGCAAGTACTGTTTGAATACATTCTTGTTCTAAAAAAAATCAAATGGTATCAATAAAGTAAAACTGGCGCTGAGAGAGCTCACTCTATCTCACTCCCCTCTCCAGAGGTCTCAGTTGCTCTCAGTTCAGGGAAATACCCCCTCCCCCCCAACACACACCTCTGTGATCTCTTTGGGAGACGTCAGCATCTCTGGTAGCCCCTCCTCTAGGTTGTTGTTAGCTGCCATGAAGTTGGAGACCAACTCATGGCAACCCCATGTACAGCAGAACTACACCATCCCTGTGATTGGTTGCAGATCAGACCATTGTGATCCATAGGATTTTCCATCGGCTTATTTTCAGAAGTAGATTGCCAGGTCTTTCTTCCTTGTCTGTCTGAGTCTGGAAGCTCCACTGAAACCTGTTCTGTATCATAGCAACGTGCAGGCCTCTGCTAACAGAAAGGTGGTAGCTGTACAAAAAGTGCATTGGTCAGGAATAGAATTTGGGCCTCCTGACTGGAAGGTGAAAATTTTACTACTGAACCACCACTGCTCCTGTTACCTTCTCTATAGGAACAGACTGTTCCTTGCATAAGGCTCATTGTTTCAGAAAGGGCATCCCTTTCTCTCAACAGCCCCTGGAGAAACATGGACATCCAAAACATTCTTACCATCCGGTTCTGTGGACATATTCCTTATGGGGCACCACTGTTAAGGGACATTGCCCAGCTGCACAGATTTTTGGCTGTCTGTGGGCCTTGCTTTAATCAGCAGTTTGCTAGGAGAAGGCCGCTTACTTGGATCTCTGGGAGTGTGCACATGTTCTTAAACACATTTTAGGTTTTGTTTTGCCACATTACGTCAGTTACTGAAGTGAAACAGATAATTTGGCGTTTGGACTGGTATTTGACTCAAAGGCTACCTTTTAAAGAAAAAGAATCAGGTTTGAACTTGACCTGTGAAAGGAGGTTATGGAGCAGTTAAGTCCTTCACTATCAATACTTGTTTAGCTCAAAGCATTTGGAAAACCAAGCCAAACCAAACTCATTGCTGTTGACTTGGAGCCGACTCACAGTGACCTGTCCTTGGGTTTCTGAGGAGCTCTGGTAGTGTAGTGCCTAAAGCACTTGACTGCTAACCAGAAGGCTGGCAGTTCAAACCCACTAGCCACTCCTCGGAAGGAAGATGGGGCAATCTACTTCCATAGTGATACCGCTTCGGAATCCTAAGGGGAGGGGTTGCTATGAGTAGGGTCCGACTCAATGGCACATAACAACATCATCATCATCTCTATGCAAGTAGATTGCCTAACCTTCCTTCCAAGGAGTGGCTGGTGGATTTGAACCACCATCCTTTGGGTTAGCCATCAAATGCCTTAGGCACTACGCCATCGGAGCTCCCAAAAGTCCTTGGAAGTAATGTTTAAATAATTTGTCATTTTCAGCCATTTTAAATTAATTTTCTCTACACTATGAAGTGTCATTGCACACCTATCTCACGTGTGGCAGTTTCTAAAATTATAGCTCTGGCTTCAATTACTTTAGTCATTGTGGCTTTCCTGAGAACACCCTTTTGCTGAACCAACTGTTGGTTCTAAGGATCTGGTCTGATCCTTACATAGTCCACATAATGCCAAATTATCTTTTAGGTGCTTTGTTTTGAGAATAATTCCATGCTGAATTATCTTGTTGATTTTACACAGTGAGTT